TATAAATACTTGTGTTCTGTTTTCAGCGCCATTCAGTGCACAGTCCTCCTTTGTTGGGGTGGAGGTATCTACAACAGGTAAACACCAATGCAGTGGAATCCCATGTGAATATTACCAGAGCAAAAAGCATTTACGAAGAGTAAATCACCCGACTAAACCAACATATTGACTGGCCTCTATACTTATCTGTGCCGTATACTCTTCCTTTTTTTTTATGACATCGTATATATCCCTGCATCCCTTTATATCTTTGTTATTGCAGACAAGGCAAGATCCAAGGCAATGAAATTGGTTCAGGTTAAAGAGATCAATAATAAGTTTGGTAAACATAATTATATGACTGTTATTAACCATGCACATCTGAGGCTGTCTTTTATCTGCAGTGCCTGTGTCTGCCTTCCCTCAATCCAAGTCTGCTGCTATTGCTAATTCTGATGATGCCACTCAGCCTATGTATCATCCTTTTGTTTCCTGTAAGTCTCAAAGTAAATGCACTCTGTACACTCTCTGGTTTGTAACTCTACTATACAGTGATGTCTCCACCTGTGTCTTCTTTTCAATACCAATCTGGCACTGGTACAGATTCTAGTAGATCCTCATCATTGGCTACAGGAAGCAGCTACAATCCTGGTTAGTAATACGATCTGTGTGTAGCACTTATTGCATGCCTAATTGTGTACACTCAGATTCAGCAATTGGTTCACCTGGACCAACACCTCCTTCGTCAAGGCCTCAAGGCAATTCTGGTATTTACTTGTCAATCGTTTATCTTGCCATCACCAAAATTGCAATACATAATTGGGGAGAAAATGCAGTTTGAAAATTGTGAATATTTTTTTAACGATCTGCAAAGGATTCTTCTTTGCCACCAAAATGAGAAAGTCATCTGGGGGTAAATTAATAATTGTAGCAAACATGAGTTTATAGTGGAGAACATTCCTAATCCTACCCCAAAAACGCAGGGAAACATAATTATATAGGGTCATAAACAAAAGGAAGAAATTTTCCTGGTATAATAGGCTCAGCCTTCTCAAACCACATTCATTGTTATGTGCATGTAGCGAGTAGTAAAATACAGTAGTAGCTAACCTTAAACATATCCCAGATGTGTTTTTCTAACAGGAGAAGGAGATTGTTCATATCTTCCAAACACCACAGTTGAACCAACTGGTGTATCACTAGGTGAAGGTGCTTATGGTGAAGTATGCGAGGTTTCATACAAGGGAAACATATATGCAGCAAAGAAGTACAAAATATCAAAAAAGGAAGAACTAATTAATTTACATAAGAGGCTCAAGGCTTTTGTTCAGGAGGTCCAAATCCCCTTACTAATCAGCCATCCCAATATCGTGCCTTACTGTGGAGTGTGCAGATTAAAAGGAGATGGAGACAACCCGGTCATTGTAATGGAAAGAATGGACAAAAACCTAACTGAATACCTAAAGGAAGGTTTGATTACCTTGGATAAAAAATTCCGAGTGTTGCTTCATGTTGCAAAAGGACTGCAACACCTTCATCAGCAGAAACCTGCCATCATCCACCGTGATCTTACAGCCAACAATGTCCTGCTTAAGAATGGAGTTGCAAAAATCGGTGATTTTGGGAACTCTCGAATAGTTGATCTTAAAACATCTGAGCCTCTTACTACTAGACCTGGTACCATCGACTACATGCCTCCAGAAGCAATGGAAGGGGGTCTCTACAATGAAAAATTGGATATTTTCTCTTACTCTCATCTCGCAATCCATGTAATAATCCAAACCTATCCCCTCCCAAAGAATCCAACTTTTTATGATGGTGCAACACTAGTTCCTCGTACTGAAGTTAAACGACGTCACCCATACTTAACAGAGATGGAGAAGTATTTGAATGGTGGTAAACACCCATTTTATTCAATAGTTTTGGAAGGTCTTTCAAATAAGCCAGGCCCAAGGCCTAGCTGTGAACAAATTATTTCAACACTCCCAATGGAGTTATAATTCTGTATCGTCAGTAGTTGATTATCACGACGTCGTGTATATTTACAAGTGGAAAAATCATTTCTTCAAAATGAAGGGGGATGTAGGGATGGCGTAAATTATGAAAAAGGATACCAACAAGAAGATGCTTCAGCCGACAACAAAAATCATACATCCATCCCTACATCTTTCTTTCTTTTGCTCTGTCTAAGAATGTGTAGGCACTCGTTATTGGGAGTAGGTATATTAATTCATAACAAAACACAGTTGAGGTTGTGAGTTAAAGAAAGATGTAGGGATGGATGTATGATTTTTGTTGTCGGCTGAAGCATCTTCTTGTTGGCATCCTTTTTCATAATTTACGCCATCCCTACATCCCCCTTCATTTTGAAGAAATGATTTTTCCACTTGTTCCACTTACTTTTGTAGCACATGATCAGCCCCACCCTTTTCGCGGTGCAGAGCGGCGAGCGAGGAGCAGCAGGGTTCACACCCGTGTGTGTGGAGATTTATGCACTGCAGATTTGTGTGATTTGAAGATTTGATCTCACACACACTCGCAGTGCATTGTGGGGGCAGGGGCGATGTCCGTAACGCTGTTTGCAATTTTGCACGATTCTTGCGTGAGAGACTAGCGGGCGCATGCGCAAGTACAAAACTAACCCAACATTCATTGTACAATATGCTTTGTTGTGAATTGTGAAGGAAAGTTTTTTCTTTAGGAGAGGTCTATTCCAGCTGAAGTGAAAGGTATAGAGGTCAAATCAGGGGTATATAGCTAGTAGCAAGCAGGCAGTAGGAGCCAGAAGTTTGCAGGGTTCAGGGTATAGCTTGAGAGTGCAGTTGCAGTCCAACCCCTCTGAATATATAGATAGTATGCACCATCAAGTGAAACACAAAGCATAATACAGAGTAGACAGACAATGTATGAGTAGGCTTACAATAAGAGTTGGTAGTACAACAAAGGCTAGGTCAGAAGTGGTATATATATAGGTTACACTACACCCACGAGGCGGTTTAGTGGATATACACTACGAGGCACAGCCGAGTAGTGTATACACTAAACCGCAGAGTGGGTGTAGTGTAACCGGTTTGTACCACAGAATGCGCGGGGAAAAACCTGGTTTGCGTGGTTAGCGCGCGCCTCTCCCAGCGCCGTGTGCGTGATGGGGCTGAAGTTGCGGCCTATCCTCAAGAGGATCTTTGACGCAAGAACTCTATAATTGTGATGGCTGCCTTCCAGAGGTTGACCAGTACCTTACCCAGATCCCAGCTCAATCCGATTTTGACTTCCCTCTGGACTGGCTACTGGCTAGAGGCTGCAGAAGGGGCGGAGAAAGTACAGGGGGTGGAGAATGTGCAGCCCGGCGACGGTTCCCGCTTCGGACCGCGCGTCACCGCTTCCGAAATTGCTACGCTGCAGGAGACTGCTGTTCCAGCCAACACGAAAAATAACACCAGCTTGGCAGTAAACGTGTGGAACGAGTGGTCAGCTTACCGTAGGCGTGAAGACCCGTCTGATTTCCCGCCCTGTCTTCTTACCATGCAAGTTAGTGAATTAACAGAGAGAAATTTGAGCTACTGCCTCCATCAGCTTTCTCTTCAAGCTGTACCTCTACTACCACTACCTCTACCACAGCTACTCTCTCCCTAGAGAAGGAAAATAGACCCCCATCCATTTACCAG